AGGATCTACCCTTCCGACGCGATTGGACTATTCAACTCCAAAACCGGCGAAATCATGGAAAATATTCATAAGATGAGAAAGACAGCGAGGTATAGGTACCAGGAACAGGCATACAAAAAGCTTCAATACCAATCTTCCACTCAGTACCAACCCTTTCGGTACAGCAAACAACAGCAGGACCAGACTTACAGACTCAACAGTCCACCGCTCTGTTGTTCAAACAGCAACGATTTTGCAGTCCCAAGCAGTCCTTTCGCAAAGCTCAGCACAGGGGTAAGCATCTCACCTAATTCTTTATGCACCACCAGACTGTTCCCATTCTTCCAAGAATGGCAAACCATCACTACTGACAAGTGGGTCCTTAATATCATTGAAAAGGGCTATTTGATCGAATATGCAGAGCCCCCGCCACCAAACTCAATCAAAACAACTCCCTTTTCCATGCCTCTGCATTTGGAAATCTCAGCACTCCTATCCAAGGAGGCCATAACCAGGGTACCATCCTCTGACTCCACCGAGGGTTTCTTCTCATTCTACTTTGCCGTTTCCAAGAAAGATGGTGGCAGAAGGCCCATCATGGACCTCCGAGACCTCAGCCTATACGTTCCCACAAGAAATTCCGTATGCTGACTCTTTATTCCATTCTCCCTCTTTTGTCTCAAGGAAACTGGTTCGTCACCATAGATTTACAGGAAGCTCTCACCAAGTCTCCATTCGAACCTATGGCTACCTGCTCAGAGAACCTGCCTTTGATGAAGACCGCATTTCTTGTAGACATTACATTGGCCAGAAGAGCGAGTGAGCTGGCTGCACTCAGGTCAGATCCATCCTTCTTGAAGTGTGGTATCCAGAACTGGACACAATACTCAAGGCAAGACCTAGTCAGTGCTGAATAGAGGGGAACTAGCACCTTGCAGGATTTGGAAACTATACTTCTGTTAAAGCAGCCTAAAAGAGCATCAGCCTTTTTGTAGCCACATCACATTGTTGTTGACTCATATTTAGATTGTGATCTGCAACAATTCCAAGATCCTTCTCGCTCGCCGAGCCAGGTATCCCTCATCTTGTAACTGGTTTCTTTTTCCGAGGTGCAATACTTTGTGCACTTATCCCAGTTTAATTTCATTCTGTTGCTTTTGGCCCAGAGCTCCATCCTATATCTATTATAATGTTTGCCCATTTTACAATTTTCCCTCCCCTCCAAAAATAAAAATAAAAATTGATATACAGCAAAATCCCAGTATTGTCAATAGGTTTTCTTTTGTTCCAAATGTATACTCACACAAGGAGATGTGCGATGTGAATCAGGAATATAGGAGATGTGATACCAACAAGCTTTTGCAGCATCAGAAACTCGGAAGCAACTGTCTTGGGGAATTGCAGAGGTTACTCCCGTGAGCACCTGGCTTGTGGGTTTATAGTTGCTCATCTAAGAATATAGATGAAAAATAGGAGGGAATGTTTGCAAAAAAGAAAAAAAAGAGAGTATCCTCAGAAAAGCAGCTTTTTCCTATCCTGTGCTTTAATTCTGTGGTTACATTGTTGCTAGAGATGTGAAGGACTTGAAAAGAACTTGGAACTATCAAGAAATAAGGTTTTATTTCTGTTCTTTCACAAGGACAATTTGTGGGATTGTCCCCCCCCCATTTTTTCCCAAGCTGTCACATTTTGAATCCCTACTTTTCTACTGGTCCTGCAAGGCCACACTTACCCACATTGTTTTCATAATAGTGTTATTTCACACTAACTGGCAAGGAACAGCTACAGTACTTTGCATGGTTGGTTTAAATTTTAAGCCAGTCCTGTTGTTGGTCAGAAAGAGGCCCACATGCAGCTGTGTAGAACACTTGCATCATATGTTTATTAATTATACATTTCGGCGAACGTCCTCCCACTTCGGTTTGAAAAAAATGAGTTGACCTTACACAAACTGAAGAAACCTGAAAGGCAAAGCAAAAAACAAACAAACAAAAAGCCTGAAAGCAAAAGCAGTAACAAAACCATACAATAAAACAACAATGTATGGGAAGAGAAAGGCACTTAATACAGTACATGGAATCTGATCTCATCTGATTTCAGAAGCTACAGAGAGTTTGCCCTGGTTAGTGCTTAGAGGGAAACCAATCATAGTCTTAAAAGAAAGTGTATATTACAAAGAAGCTAGACACAGAAACCTTGAAAAGCTAGGAATAATTTGAAGTCTAAGAAAACAAGCCGTGAAGCTACCAATTATGAAAGAATACTCTTTTTTGAATTTAAAATGTCTTCCTGTTGCTAATAATACTCACAGAACCATCATTTTTGGAAGGAAATTGATATGTTCATAAAGATATGAACATGTTCTAAATATAAATGCAAACTCAGGAGGTGGAGAGAGAAGGTGAATCCCACCCCCACCCCACCCCCATAGATATTTTGACTGTAGTTCTTCAATTCTGCCTTAGGAGATACACTATGTGCCCTGCTGAATGTACCTGCATGCTACTTTTATTCTCTATCGTGCTTTCTGTGCTGCATAGAGATACAAGATTATGAACTCATGGATCATCAACTCTATGCATATTTGCTGTTACGTGCTGTCAAGTCACATCCAGTTTATAGTAATCTGATATAATTTTTCAGGGTATGTGAGATATTTAAGGAGCGATTTTACTTGTGCCGGCTGCCAGTGATGGCCGAACTAGGTTCTGAGCCCAGGTTTCCTAAGTTTTAGTCTGTCACTCTATCCACAGCACCACAACAGCTCACACAAAGTATGTATGTCGCTACAAATGGACAGTTATGAAGCTCATGAAATTTAGCAGCAGTCTGAAAAGCAGCTGATCAAACAGTGTCATGATCATGCTTATGAATAAGTGTGAATATGTTACTCTCTCTTTTAATAATTGTTTGTGTGACTTTCTTTTCTTATTACTTGAAACTTTAGAGCATTTAACAGCATTTTGAGATTATTAGATTGGTAGAGTGGTATATGTGCTCAGCCTTGAGTATTTATTTGCAAACACAGCAAGTATTACATCTGTTCTACTTAATGCATTGTTTTACAGCATGTGTACTTTCATTCCTGGAATGATATCTATATGTTAGGGCTTTCATATCTACACATTCCAGAACTCCCAACTTTTGGCTCTGGCTAAGACTTCTGGGAGCTATAGATGAAGAATGTATAGTGCCCCAAGTTTGGAAACAGTTGTGTAAGATGATGTTTTCCCCTGCTGACTTTGACTTGTGCATGGAACAGCCCTTTCCACTGAACTATATGGGGAGTCTTTTCAAGTCATTCCATTATTGGCTTCAGGCCCCTGATTTCATGGAGTTAATAGGGCAAAAATATGTAATTATGCAAGAGACGAGTTGGTAATAGTGGCATAACTTCTGTAGAAAGGAGAAGTCATACCCAATGCTACTTTAATTGTGGGCAGCAACTTCAGTCTGTAACAGAGCAAATTCCCATTGTAATCCACAACTGGGCAAAGATTAATCTCTTTGTTGCTGAGCTTCTGTGACTAGCAAAAAGACACTTCAATTATATTTTGACAGACACACAGCCCCAATTTTTCAAATACATAGTATGTATGCATCCATAGGAATACAGTAGTCCTCTGCATGGTAATACAAGGCTGACAAAGAAATTTTATCAGTTCCAGACTGAATTTATTGTGCTTATTTATCTTTTACACACATGTATGCATGTATGATGTTAATGTATGCCTCCTTTGGCAAGATCTGTCCCTATTAATATCTAGATTGACCTTGACAACAGAAAGTACACCATAGAGCATTTAAAGAAAAATACATTTATTAGAAATGCAAGTATTTTGAAAATTTTGAATTAGAAAATATGCACAGTGGTTACATCTCAAAATGTTCCTCAGTGTTTTGTCCTATTTTACTTTTATTTGAGAATGAGGCAAGAAAGAGGGCCAGGTCAATAGAAGGAATTGATAGAACAAAGCAATGATTCTAAGGAAAAATCTGTGTCTTTGAAAGACTGCTAACTGTTCTGTTGAACATCAGACTTACAGTAAATAGCATGCATTTATAAAAGATGAGTGGAGTTAGAGCTGGCTTATTTAGTCTAGACAGTATTTTCCTTGCCAAATGTTACTTCTTTCACTTCTGCCTGTCACAGCTGCTTGATAAAAGCTGTCCAAGAATTCTTTGTATCAAGACAATTTTCTTGAGCTCTAGGCTGAGTGATATTTGGGCTTATACAATAATATTTTAATGGTTTTAAATCAGTGAGAAGTGCATTACTGCAAGTTTTATGCTAGTCTAACTCTGCAGAGGCTGTCATGTAGTGTCCAGGTTCCCTTGCACCCAAGCAAGTGTGCCTACCACATTGTTGGGATTAGGTGTTGGATACAGTATTATAGTTGGACTAGTGTGGCTAGGTTTTGAACCCATTCCTATTCTCTCACCATAGTTGAAGCTTTATGTGAACTAGCCCAGAAATGGAGTAATTGCTATATACACATTGTAATAGTTTTGCAAAAGTATGTGGATTCCTCTTTACAAACATGTACATCAGTAATGTTGGATTACTATCAATTCTTATTTATATTAAGGGTACTGTTCAGTAAATTAAATTCTTTTGGTCTGAGGAAGGGTTACAAAGAAATGGACTTGGCATTTTCTAGTATTCAGCAATGTTTCCTACCAGTGCCATGTGTAGGTGTTTCTGTCTCTCTTCCTCCTTCTCACTTTCTTTCTGCATTGTTTAAAATTGCCCATTTGGCTCACACACAGAGAGAGATCTATTCCATTTTACAGACCAGACTTTAACCCAGTAGTCTTTCATCACCTACAACCAAAATGGCCAGTGGGTGTTAGTACATGTACAAGTCTTTGCAGATGTTTTGTATCTCAACTGGTTTCATGAAGTTTACTTTATTTCCATGACTATAATAATATTATTTGTTGTTTACTTGGCCTTAATGTATTTTCTGATTAAGTTAAAATTTCACTATCTTTCCCTCTATTCTTGTTTCTTTGAACAGAATGATCCCTGTTTCATCCCAGACTTTGATGATGAATGTGCATCATGGCCAAACGCAAGAATATGTTATCAAGCCCAAGTACTATCCAGCAAAGAAAGTGATTTCAGGAGAACAGTCTACAGAGAGTTCGTTGCCTTTAAGACTGAGCCACGATCATGCATCGCCTTTCCAGTGTGAGTATGCCAGAAATCCAATAAATTTTGATGTCAGTTTTCAGGCAGGAAATAAAGCCCCATGGAGTCAATCAGAATCAGTAGATGTTTTCTCTTTTATTTGTGAAAATATACAATCCAGCTGCTAAGTTTCAAAAATAATTGATCAAACATTTTTTTGCTGCCCTGTTCCTAGAATTCTTAGGACCCATTCCAGGTGTAACCTGAAACCATCTTATGGTAAAGCCAAATTTTAGTACTTGTAAGCTCCTCGTGCCCCAAGTACCAACAAACATGAGTGTCAGCACCAACATTCTGCATGCATTCCAAGACTGCGCTGTACACAGGCATCATATGCTCAAACCTGTGAAAGGCTTTTTGGCAAAGCCCAATTCAGGCATTGAAAAAAGAATTAATTTGAAAACTTAAATTAGGAGAGAATTCTAACCCTGCCCTGCCTGCCTATAACTGCAGAAAGACATTCAGAACAAGAGACAGTCTACTATATGTGGTGTCTCCTGGATCCTGAATTGTGTGGAGATACTCCAAGCATAGCAGATGCGTAGCTCTTCAAACAATCTCTCTCCCTGTAGAGACACAAATAGGCAGCATGCAGGGTTAGTTGGTGCCCTCTCACTGTTCAAACTTTTATATTAACCCTTTTAATGCCTGAATAGGTTTAGATTGTCACGAGAAACCTGTAAGCAAATTCTACATTCATGGGATAAAAGGCTTAATGGCATTCTTTTTGTGGACTTGTAACAGGGGACGTGGTGGCACTGTGGGTTAAACATCTGTGCTGCAAGGTCAGAAGACCAGCAGTCGTAAGATCGAATCCATGCAACGGAGTGAGCACCCGTTGCTTGTCCCAGCTCCTGCCAACCTAGCAGTTCGAAAGCATGTAAAAATGCAAGTAGATAAATAGGTACCACCTCAGTGGGAAGGTAACGGTGTTCCGTGTCTAAGTCGCGCTGGCCACGTGACCATGGAAACTGTCTTTGGAGAAACACTGGCTCTATGGCTTGGAAATGGGGATGAGCACCATGCCCTCGAGTCGGACACGACTGGACTAAATGTCAAGGGGAACCTTTGCCTTTACCTAACCGATTAAAGAATGAGAAATAAAGTGTAGAAATAATTTAAATGGACAGTATTCACAAAAGTTTGCCATAAAAAGGACTCAACTTTCCACACACTTAACTGACTGGAAATCAATCAGAATTTGTATACCACAAAGAAAGAAGGGCTCACCTAAGTCCAAGAGGAGTTAGAGAGGCTTTAAAGGGCAAGGAGGGGTCCTTCCGTAAATGGAAATCCTTCCCAAATGAGGAAAATAAAAAGGAACACAAACTCTGGCAAAAGAAATGTAACAACAGGATATGGAAGTCAAAGAAAAACTTTGAGGAATGTATGGCCAGCAATATAAAGGGGAATAATAAACGCTTATTTAAATATGTGAGAAGCAGGAAACCTGCCAAAGAAGCAGCTGGCCCTCCGGATGGTGAGGGAGGTAAAAGGGAACTTGGAGATTGTAGAGAAATTAAACGAGTTCTTTGCATTTGTCTTCACGACAGAAGACCTTAGGCAGATCTGCTGCCCAAACAGCCCCTCCTGGTTAATTAATTACTGTGAGATACAGAAAGCTGGACTAGATGAGTTGTCGGCCTGATCCAGCAGGGCTCTTCTTATGTTGTGGATGGTGCCCTATTACTTAGGAGGAAAGAGGAAGATAATTGTTACAGTTCTATAATAATATTCAGTTGGAAGTTGTAGTTGAATGCCAAAATTGAATTTTATATGTAGTAAGAATTATTATGCAACTATTAACTGAACATATATATTGTAAGATGTGGATTCTTTACTTTAAACATCCAGGGCAAGATAGATTCCTTATTTCCTTCATTGGTTTCCCATTAAGTAATACAAGTAATTATGGGCTATGTACTGTCAGGTTGATTCTGATTTATGGTGACCTTGGTAGTGTTTCAGAAATATGTGAGATATTTAAGAAATGGTTTTACTGTTGCCACTGCTCAGTGAGCTTCCGTGGTCAAGTACGGATTTGAACTCAAGTCAACTCCAGCACACTATCCACCACACTGCACTGGCTCTTGCAAATAATTGCTAGACCATTTCCCAATAATAGGACGACGTTCACAGTAATATTAATTCAAAATGATTTCTTGCAGTATGAGTTATCACATGACTACATGATAACTGTGGAGTCAGAGATTGGGAGTTTGATTCCCCATGGTGCCTCTCTGGTGGGCTGGACGTGATGATCCATAGCTCTGCAGTTCTAAGATTATTATTATTCTAAGTTTCTAAGATACAGTAGTTTAGAGATAGAATTCACGCCGTCTGCTGAATGATGGAAATTTCTTTACTTTGAAATTATTCACAGTTTCAGAAATAGAGGAGACTTGAGAACTACGAATGATAGTAGTACCTTTCTCGTTGGCTACGCAGCAAAGTTTATTCTTGAGTGAGAAGCACTTTGACTGTAAGCCACTTATAAATAAATATTGTGTTGTTGTTTCTAGTGTGTAGATTTAATGGTTTTCAGTTTGATGTAAACGTGTCTTCATTTGTCAGATTATCTCAGTTCCCATGTAATTTTGAGCAAAAGCTGAAGCACTGGCAGAAGAATTACAAGTTGATAATTTGGCAGCACTATCCTTGGATGTTCCTGCCAACAGCACAAAAGGGTTGTGGCAGATGTCCCAGTCTTAAACCTCTTGGGCCTGACTCTGAATGACCTATGATTACTGGCTCTCTTTATTTGCTCAATTTTAGTGCCTGTTTCATGAGGGAGGGAGTACAGGATGGATTTTGAGGGTGGAGCAGAGCAGCCAAATCTCCAGCTTTCCACAGTCTGAAAGAAAGGTGTTTCTTCCTTCCTGAGAATGGACCAAAAGCTTCCACTCTGACCCCTCACCCTAGGGATTGGGTGTTGGAGCCACATCAGTAATTATTAGAGGAAACAACAGGTGATTTTTTTTAAAGTGCAGAGTTTGCACAATAAATGGTAAATATAGATAGAGTGCTCTCATTGAAAGATGTGCTTAAAAATAAATGTGGAACAGCTGTATGAATTGTTGGGCATTGTTGATGTTATGCACTGAAAATAAGTCAGTCATGGGCTCCACAGATGAAAAGTAAAATATGTGACCATCTAATTCAGGATCATTAAATAGTTGACAACTTTTAGCCTAGACTTCTTCTGAGCTAATATTTTCTTCTGAAATGCATTCTTAATACATGGGTAGTTGTTATTGTTTTATTTCATTAAAGCACTGGCAAATGTAGAAGTCAGTCTATTCTGGGTTATATTTCTTGTGTTATCTGTTTTTGTCAGCCCCCAATATTTCTGTGCAATGGAACAACAGATCATGCAATAGTCTGCTTATAATTGAGGGATTAATTTAAATAAAAGGCATATGATTGTACATATTACAGTTAAATCTAAACATACTTATATCTGCCATTTTCAATTTAAAACTTCATTTGATTTTGAGCTAAAATATGTCTGGCAGAAATTGAAAACGTATGTTGAAAACATTAATCAGTTCTGTTCAGATTGTTGGATCATTTAAAAAGTTCAATGGTTTATAGTAAACAACTTCATTAAACAGTTTTACCCTTAAAACATGGAGCATATGCAAATCCCCAAACATACGATATATACGAAATTCTGAATCTTTTTATTAATGTTTAGCATTTACCACATAATTTTTGCCTGTGAAAATATAGTGCAGTTTCATCTTGGGAAAGATTGTATTATATAATGGCTTTCATTTTAAAAGATAAAAATTTAATATTTTTTGACCAGTTTATAATTCAGAGCTTTTATTTTTGAAATCTGATGGTTTCTTTCTAATATGCACAAAAGTGTAGTGTATTTTTAGAGGGCTTGTTTTCTGATGAAAATAAGTTTCTTTGTCTCTACGTTGTATAAATTATACACTTTGATATTTCTTTTTCTCCTTTTTAAATTAGAGGAGCAAAAGGAGAGGCTACATACAGTTCCTAGGGAGGAAGGATATACATTATATAAAATGTGTATTAAAATGTACCGCACCTCCTTCCAACGGTTCTGTTGAAGCAGCTGTTTCCCCTGTTACTAATGTAGGTCCCCTGTGTGCATTTAATAAATAACTGCATATAGGAGGAAGAAGGTGAGAGCATTCCAGAAATGATGACACTCCTCAACCAGTAGTAATACCTTTAGAAACAAGCTGCTCCACCAGTTAACATCAGGGTGGATAAAAATCAATGATTTTTAAAAAAATCAAACTGATTTAAATCACAGTTTCAATTGAAAATCCGATTCTTAAAAAATCTAAATTGTCAAAAAAAATCCTATTTTTCAAATTTAAATTGTGATTTAAATTATGGTCTAAATTAGTTTGATTTATATCACAAACATTCTGGTTAGCAATATTTCAGGAGAGTGCATAATTCTACCCCACACCCACACCCCCATGATGGCAGGAAAGCAGAAAAGACCAAATCTTCTCTGTCCCTCTGGAATGACCTTGTGGGTAGATTAGTGGTATCAGTGTAGCCTTTGCCATGGTATGGTGGTGGCTGGCCCTTTAGGACAAGAGGAAAGTGGCTAGTTTCTCTGGCAATTGGCCAGTTTGTTCTTGTCAGCCAGCTTTCCCTGGGGGGGGAGGGCTGAGGCCTTTCTACTGAACTTCCAACTTTACTGTGCTTCTTGTGGTGGGTGGGAAAGAAGAAGAGAGAAGCAGCAGGGGGTGTTAACATTTCTAATTCTTGGCGAGATGTAACATTTTTTGTCCTTCACCTGAGTTGTGGAGTACTATAAATGAAGAGGTGTTGAGACAGTGTCTGAATAAGTAGCTACAGTATATGTATGTGTGTATGAATAGTTACTTTTGCCCCTGGCAATGACTGTTTGACTGTGTTTGGCAACCTGTACCCTCCATTCCACCAACCACAATGGAGACCAACTGCCACTGGCATGATGTCACTGAGCCCAGATCTCTTTTGCCAAT